GCAGTGCCCCGCCCCCCGCCCCTCGCTTCACACGTCAACGCAACAAAGCCGAAAATTAGTTAACATTTTTTGGTATTTGATGCCCTACACCTGCTCATTAGCCAGGGTCCATTTGCTCTTCCGGACAGCGTGAGAATTGGCCAGGGATATCAGTAATTAACCTTCCTTGGAAAGAAATATCTATTGTTACTAAATAAGAGTAGAATATAAAAATTTACTGAATTGTTGTTACTTAATACACTTTTGCTATCTACAAGCATCGTGCACATTTATTTAATATAATTAAAAATATTATTTTTGAAACACTCTTAACATTCTCATTTTGCCAAGATTTTAAAAATAAATTCGCTTTATATTATATTAGAATACATTTAAGAATTATTTTGATAGACATTAGAAAAAAAGGATCCCTAATTAACCCTGAATTGAAGTGTTAGCCCCTCGACGACCCAAAGGTGTGATTGTTTTTTTGGGCCAAAAAGATCATTAGCCAAAAGATCTCAGGAAGTCAAAGGCAAGCTGCTTAGACAACAATTCAGACTTGATCGATGATCGCTCGGCTGCCTTCGATGAAGTTGTCTCCGAAACAATCGTTATAAATGATCGAAGTATCCATCGAGATGGACATTAATCTTAATTGATAGATTGGGAGGAGTACACACCCCAGGACTACTGAAGAATGTGCGGAAGCGTCTTTATTTGTGACACTCCCAATGAGATCGAATTAATGGGCAGCTAATTGAATAAGTGACATTTGATGGGAACTGATAAATTCAATTCTTGTTTTTACTGCAGTTTAACGAACGTAAACATTTCAATTGGTAGTGTTGGGGTTTTATAATCTGAAGAAAAAATATTTTAAGCGATCGTGAGGAATACATATTAATTGGATTTCTAATGCGAACGAAAGTATGGGAACTCAGTGAGTCACGTTGCACATGCGCGGTAAATTTATAGCATATTCATATACACAAATCGGTTTTAAAACAGATCGTGTTTGCCCGTATTGTAATTGGGATCACGTCACAACTAAAGCGTATAAATGTGTAATGTATTTGAATATTAGGAACATAAATATGTCGGTTTAAAAATCGTGAGTACCAATTATAATCAGTTAAAGATCACTGCAAAGAAATTTAAAAACTATCAACTGTGTTTTTAAGTATTCAAATATTGTAAGAGTATAAATATTTAAGAGTATGTAGATATTTTATTAAAGTGATCATAAGTATTTTATTTTATTTATTTAGATCTTTTGATAAATAAAATAAAAACACAGTTATTACCTACTAATTTTACCATACAATCTTATTTTATAGAAATTTCTTTTAAATTAGAGAATTGTGTAGTCTTCTAATGGAACAAACACATTTACCCCACTAAATATTCTTTTTTTTTCAATGACAAAATGGGGGGAATTGGAGTAGCTGTGGGCGGGGCAAGGGCGTTAGTCGAATACCCCGCACTCATTACGGACATTTCCAACTTCTGGTTGAGTTGAAGAGTGACAGGGGGTCGGGAATAAAAACGGGGGGAGGGAGCTGCTGGCCCGGAGGAGCTGCTTCTGGTTGTGCTTCTGCTGGCTTTGGCGTTTTCAATTGTTGCTAATGAGTGCCACAAATTAATTAGGTTACTTCGTTACGCTGCCTCCGCTGTCGACGGCGACGTTACATGACCATCAGGTTTGGTGGCTCTGCGTTTTTCGGGTGGGTTGCCTTCCATCCACGTACCACCGATGTTGAGCAGTGATAGTTGTCGAGAAATTAGCATAAATTTCTCTTTCTTTCTTTTTTTTCTCCACCGACTCGCCTCCGCCGCGTTACCTTGTTCGCATGGAAAATTGAGCAATTTTCCGACGTTTTTCACGTTCGTGCAGCGAGAGTGAATTATTAATTTAAAAAAAAAAGGAAAAAGCAAAAGAAAAAACCCTTATCACGGAGCGGAAACTTCTATTCACGTTCGCGATCTTATCGGGCATAATAGATGGTGTCTACGAAAAGAAAGAAATCCACCAGATTCAAGTGCTCTCTTTGGATTTAGGGCCCTATCGATTGCCAAAGATGACGGCTCACAACTTGACCGCAACAAATCCGAATCAGTTTCGGATTATCTCTTACACAATTGCACAAGATAATTGAGGTACCAGGGCATATATCAACCAACTCGGGGCAGGACGACCCAAGGAGCTGGGGAAATTTATCAAACCCTCAGGTAAGTCGTTCTTGAGTCTCTGTCTGGAGTCAAAACCACATAATTATACGGCTTAGGATTACCTCGGCAATAATTCAACTAAATCGGACCGTGCTATGAAATCTGCAGGGGGGAGAAGTTAGAAAGGTTCTTTAAATTCAATGTTCTCATGTTATTAAAAAGTGGTTCACATATTTTTTATTTGCCAAATTATAGGGCTATAAATCCTTACAAATCTTTCATTTTACCCCTGTATATAAATGTTAAAGGAAATGTACTATTATTATACCAAGATTTAAGAGAAGCTCTTTATCGCTCCTTTGAGAAAACTTTTAAGATTTGATATGGTTAAGGCCTTTCATTTAGATAGCTGTTCGCAATAGTAAATTTGTCATGGTTTAACTTTGTTAAAAGTAAATCTTTATTTATATACCCCTTTGTGAGATGAAATCCAAGACCATTTAGATTGCCAGCTCGGTAAACCTTTCTATCTGGGAAACTATTTACTTGGAGAATATCTGCAGGACGTATCTTTGGTAGCCGAGGAAACCCATAAGAGCATTTTTAGCCTTTGGCAAATGTGAAATGTTGAATTTTGACTTCACCCAAGAATGGGAAGAGAATCAAAAATGGGCGCATCGATTTGGGTTGCTACTTAGTTACGCATGAGCACTGAGAAAAACGGATTTAATTTAGGGATATGCCTTAAACATTTGAAATTTTCCAAAAATTGCTTTATTTTTAATAACAGCAATAATTTATAAATATTTTTTTTATTTAAAATAAACCATTTGCTTTTAATGCGTCGAGAAATATATAGTTTCTTTTAGAGTTTTTGCCAGTGTCTTACCTTTTTTCCCTCCTTCTTTTGGCCAAATAGTGGGGATTATTAGGGCTTAGTCGTGGGTGTGTGCGAGTGTGTGTGCGTGTGTGTGTGTGAGGGGCGGGTAAGATGAAAAGTGGGGGAGGGGGCGGTGTGTGAGGCCAGCACAATTACACATGCACAAAGGATACGCCTAAGCGGCTTATACGAACGCATCCCGAACGGTTCGAAATGAAACCAAATGTGGCCTGCATGGGTGGAGACGAGGGGGTGAAGGAAGGGGGTATTAAAGGGGGGCAGCGGTGCTGAGGCGGTTGCGGTTTCCGGCTTGGTAAGCGCCCCATTATGAACAGAAAAGTAACGCTAATGAGTAAATCAAGTGCACATGTGTGCCGTTGAACTGGAATACCCCGCTCAACCACTAACCCCTCCCCCCTCCCTCCTCACCGTACATGCTCCTTGAGAACCCCCCTTGAAATGCCCACCCATGATTCGGATCCTTTGAAGCTGCGCCAAACGGCGTGTTGAGGCATAAATAAGCCTCCTTCTGTCTCCTTCCCTCGAACTTTGCGCTTCTCTCTCTCTCTCTCCTTTTCACTTTAGTCAGCCACTTGGCGCTGTTTTAATAGCTAAATTATGTAATCATGATGTGTGATACTAACAGACACACACACACACAAACACACGCCCACACATGTCCCGGTATTTATGCAAATCCTACCGTTACTTCTTCCGAGAAACTTTTATTTTGTTTTACAGAGAGACAAAATAACGGAATATACTAATTGTAACATTTCAGTTTGAATAGAAAAATAGTCCATTCAATTTCATAATATTTTTTTTTTTTTTTTCTAAAAAATAAAATATATGTATATATTCGAATATGTGTTTGTAAATATTTATAAATTAAATAAATACTACTAATTCATTTTTTATTTGACAATCTTTTTAACACTTTTTTAAATTTATCAGTTTGTTTTTGCTCTGTATGGTTTTAAAAACCTTAAATAATTCGATGAGAGCAAGGATAGTACATTTTTTTATCAAGTTAAAAAATTTTGAATTAAATTAGCGTATATCGACACTCCTTAAATGTAATTTCCTTATTACTACGGATTTTTTTTCGGTGCAGGCTCCACTCCCTTCGTCTTTTTAATTTGAAATTTTTCATAATGAGCAGCGCGATGGGCGGAATAAAGGATGGCGAGGGGGTGGGATGGGAGGTCGCAGTTCGGGACGTTTGACGTTGCCATAGTGTGAAGATTAAATTCTACTAATTAGAGATGCCAAGTGAATGTTCGCGCATTCGTGTGTGTGTGTGTTTGTGTGTGTGCTGTTAAGTATGGGGATATGTGGGGGGTGAAAAGGGGGCGGGTTAAGTAATGGCGTTGAACCGAAACCATCAAAGCAGCCAGCTCGGCAGCACAATTCCCCCTAGAATCCCGCCAAGCCCTTGCCTCATTATTGATATGCCAAGCGTAAGAAGTTCAAATCCTCGAAACAAACTACAAAGAACCATTACACACACAAGTGCGCCACCAACACCATCGCACCCGAGCATTTCTTCTGGGTACACAAAAATTTGTAATTTCTTTGGCGCCATCTTAATCCCTGGCTTTCACTAGTCAACGCTTAGCATCCGGTTTTCGCTCTCGATTGGCAGGAAAGTAATCTGGGTCCTTTACGAGGCAGGGATTAGCGGGATGTGCCCGCGTCATACTTGATTTCTCGATGAAGTTGGTAACCACAGGCTGGAAAAATAAATTATAAGCTGCTTCATAAAATATTACTAAATAATTATAAGAATTTGAACATTGAACATTTGAACAATTAAAATTTTTCATTAATATTAACCAAGCTAAAATACTTTATGTATTAGTTTCTATTGTAAGCCCCGAACTGAGAAAAAAAAATTAAATTATTAAAAACTTATCTAATACCAAATAATGAAAAAGAATTTTGCTTCTCAGTTGACTGTAAGATTTAATTCATCTCTTACACTTATTACATAAAAAAGACTCAAAAATTACAAATTTTACACCACAATATGAGTATATTTGCACTATATCAGGATCCTTTGCGCGGCGAGCGGCTTAAGATATCGGGCTATAATATCGGATCGAAAATGATCCCAGAAGAATTTGACATTTCCGATCCCATTTTGCTGCGACTCCTCCTCTGTTTGATAATAGTAATTCACGATGCCTTTCACATGTTCCTTTGTTGCCGTCAGTTGAAATTATGTGAGAAATCCAAGGATCCGCCGCCAGAAATGGAAGGGGTCATGTCGCAAGATGCTTTCAAGGTGGGCTTAGATAATTTATGTAATACTGTTTTAAAATCCCATTCAAAGGCCTCCAAGGATAAGCAATTTCATTCCTTATATCTGGAGATGTTCAACCTAATAATGGATGTGATATATAGCTGCCTCGATTTGTATCTTTGCACTTTGCCGTATCTCTGGGAGTTGACGGTGGGTTGGTACGCTAATGCCGATTTAACCTGGCTGAATGTCACTTTTATGACGCTGTTTTCCACCTATCTTGTGATTCGAATGTTGCCAGCTCTATTTTATGAGAAACTCTTCTTGAATCCTAAATATCATGAGGATCGTGAAGATACTCCGCCTCTGTTGGGTTTAATATGCGCCTTGGCTTTTTTCGTGGTTTTTCTGCAGGTAAACTAATATGATATGATAAGATAATATGATTAAAACATTTTTAATACACCATAAGATATACTATTCGTTTTTTAAAGATGATTCATAATGTGATGTTTTGTAATGATAATAAATTTAAGCCTTTCCAATAGATTGGAATTATTCCGGTGACTGCGATTTTCATGGCTTTGGAGGCCGAAAGCGTTTGGTACTTCAACCTGTTCGTTTGGCTTCTTCTGGTAGTCGGATCCCTACTCCTGTTGGTCGCCGTCGGACTCTTCGGAGTGCCCTGCATCGGCAAGAGTCGCGAGTTGAAGGATTCGGATAGAAGTGAGAGCTTGCGAAAGGTGCTGACTGATCTCAAATTTCCGGGTCGCGTTTACGCGGTGTACACTTTTCATGTGGGCAGACCGACTGCCTGGGTGATGGGATGCTTCTGCTGTCTGCGTCTGGATATCCACGATAATCTCACTCTGAACCGGGGACTGGGTTCGACTGATCTGGCCTTTAGCCATGTGGGAGAAGGCCTGAATGACGAGCAGTTGGCCGCGTTTGTGGCCCACCAATTGGCCCACTGGCATCTGTGGCACTCGGTGAAAACCTTGGTCATGATCCACCTCAGTCTGCTGGTATATCTGGTGTTGTTTGGATTCAGCTACAAGTGGAGTACTCTCTACAAGGCAGCAGGCTTCTCGAAATTGTATCCCTGTGTCGTCGGCTTTTGGCTGGTTTATAAGTACCTAATGCGGCCATTTCACACCTTAACCACCTGGATAGTCTTATTCTTCATCCGGCACTTTGAGTACGCCGCAGATGCCTATATCGTCAAGCGGGGCTATGGTGAGGGAATAAGGTCCGCCCTTCTGAAGCTCTTCTCTGACGATTTCGAGTTCCCCTATGTGGACCACTGGTACCTCATGTGGCATCTCTACCGACCTTCTGTGCTGCAGCGAATCCTAAATCTAGAGCGATTAGAACACAAGCAGAGGGTCTCTAGGTTATCGCTAGTTTAAAGGGTTTTTATATCACATATAATCTTTTGGGAAATGGGTATGATATATTATTAGGGAATTTTAACCAAAAATAATTCAAAATTAAATATTTGGTACTTGATATTATGCTAAAATAAAAAGAAAATCACAACCTATCAAAATAATTTCTTTTAAAATTTGAATCTGCAAAGTATACACCCCCTGCTTTTAAAGAATCTGAAAGGTTGACAGTCCGGGGATTTAACTTTAAGTGTACGGCCAGATTGCAGGGGAAGTTTCCTGTTTTCCTGTCCCAGCCGAAACTTTTCCGTTGTGTTTTAATTAAAATTCGTTTCAAATAAGCCGCTGTCACAACGCCCCTCCTCCGGCCCACAGTTCTGCTACCAATTTTTCTCTTCGGGTGTTAAAAGCTAATTTCCCCTCTGTTTGAGGGTTGCACAAACCGCATCTGAGGCTAGCAAAGTCTTTAAACTTTTTAAATTAATATCAAAGTGAAGCTTCTGAAAAATATATAGTCTTTCTCAGTTTCATTAAAATCAAAAACAAAGCTACTTGTTTAATTGGCAGGATACGTACGTATACGTAATTTATATTGTTTGGTTTTCTTCTTCATCAGACTTTATTACTTTATTTATATTTAAATTAATTGTAGGCTATACTACAATTTAACATTTTTTTAGATACTTGTTTTAAAATTCATTCCAAATTTTCAATATTATTTTTATGTTGAGTAGATAGCTTTAAAATGTTATTTGACCCATGTGCATCGATTGAGGAACTCGATTAGGAATATTGTTTACGCCGTGTTTGCACAGGTTCCCCCATTTGCGGTGGGTTTCCGTTTAACGCCGTTTTTATGTGGGTTTTTCTTTTGCGGGAACAGTCTTTTCCACCTCACTGTTCGGCTGCTTTAAGCCCACTCTGCCGTTTCATTGTCTTGGCAATAAAAACTCGCGTGCTCAAATGGCGAAATTCCCAGCGAAAGCCCTCGTTTCCGAAACCACTCGCCAGATATTGAAGCATTTACCATGCTATATGTATTTAGTCTTTTTTTTATAGGTAAACACGGCTGGTGTCTATTTTTTAACGACCGCCCGACTGAATTATATTTTATTTTTCAACTCAAATTTATTTTAAACGCCTTTCGACGACATTAAAATTAATGTCCCACCAGACAGTGACAGCTATATAATAAGGAGATTGAAAACTGATGCATTTCTAAAATACCCTTTTCTGGTAAAAACTATGTGACAAATATAATTTGGTTGTTATATAAATTTAAGAAAATTCTTTCTAATTTCATAAAGTCAATTTTTTTTTGATTTAGTCAAAAAATCTATATTATTATATGGTCAAAAAATCAGTATACCTTTCTTAAGAGTAACAAAAAAATTATAAAAATTAAGACCAAAATAAAAAACACCAGCAGCGATCGTAAACTTTTGGTGTCGAGGACTGGCAATTGAAATCGTTTACGTTTGGTGGGTTGTGGGTGGTTGGGTGGGTGGTTGGTTGGTTGGTGGGCGGGGCAGGGTTGTTGTTGGCGAACGGTAAGTCTCATTTATGACCAGAACGATAACAGAAAAAACTGCGAGTCCTTTGCATTTTTTTCAACCACCCTCCTTTTTCACTTTGCTGCCATTTTGGGACGCAACTTAATTAGCCAACGACTTTAAACGGATTGACGGATCGAAAAAGGGGGAGGTGGAAGGTGGAAGGGCTGACAAAGTCTATCTCCGAACGAGTTTTCTCGCTAAATCAATTACACAATCAAACTGCTGGCAGTTTTCAGCTGAAATCGGATGGATGGCTTTCTGCATTCCCCAAAATTATTAGCAAAATTGTTTCACCAAGTTTTTAAAATGAAAAAACTTCTACCTGCTTTAGCTAAATTGATGTAAAATGTCACTCCTAAATTATGTTTGCTGATGGCTGTTTAAGATATTCTTAGAAAAGTGCTTTGTATTTATTTAACTGATTCTTATTATGCTAAAAGTTATTAAAATATCTCCATGAAGCTTATACCGATGACAACTTGCATTTATTTATTTTTTTTTTTTTTTTTTTTTTTTTTTTATTCCTTTATAACTCCTCCTGGGAGCATAGGGCCTCGACTAGATTCCTCCATCTTACTCTATTTCGGGCTGTCTGTTTCGCTGTGTCCCATGTGATGTTGTATTGGGACAACTCTTGAAGGGCGGTTCGTCTCCATGTTGCTTTAGGCCTGCCTACACGCCTGCTTCCCTGTGGGTTCCACTCTAGCGCCATTCTAACTATGCTATCCTGGTCCTTTCGCAGTGCGTGGCCTATCCATCTCCATTTTTTCTTCCTGATTTGGAGTCTTATTGCTGTTTCACCCGTCATATTCCAGAGGTCTATGTTGGAGATTCTGTTTGGCCAGAAAATCCCGCATATTATTCTGAGACATTTGTTGGTGAAAGCCTGCAATTGTTGGATAATTGTCTTTGTTGTGAGCCACGTCTCGCTTCCGTATAGTAGGACGGATTTTACGCATGAGTTGAAGATCCGTATCCAGTTATTTTAAGTGTTTCTTATTGTAGAGACTATTTTCTTTCTGTGTATGGTATTCACATGCAGATAAGTGAAAAATGAAACATAACAGCGGGAGTGATGGAGAAGGTAGAGTGGAGTATGAGGACGCATGTGGATGTGAAAGGACCTCGGATAAATGCGTTCCTTTTTAAAATTCACTCTCGACAACTGCCTGCACCGCCCACCACCGCCTGCGGCGTCCACAAAGCGGTGACAAACGAAGCGGCTTCCTTGCACCAACAGCACCACCCATCCTCCCCCCTTTCAGATCCAACCCCCTTCCGGCACCACCATGGCATTCACTTTGATGTTTTACTTTTACTGCCTCTCGACGCTGGGGCTTCTGCTTCTACTTTTGCTTCTGCTGCTGCCTCTGCTCGAGCTCTATGATGATTTCTTTCCTGAAATTATATTTTAACTGCCAGTCAGCCTCGGCTACAAAACTCAGCCAGCAACCACCCGCAACCACTCCCCACCCACACACATTTCCAACAAGAGACCCAGCTCAACCACATGGGGCAGGGCAAGTGCATCATGTTGCTGGGCCATAAAAAGTAATGACAGCTGAAATTCTCCGGCTCGATAATGACGAACGAGCTAGAAGGATGATGATGATAATGATGATGAGTGCAAAAAAAAAGAAGCTCGAAATAAAATGGGCTTTCAACATCCCCAAAAGAGCTGAGCAAACAAATTGGTAGCCCTATGATTTATGGAAAACCTTGTTTCGAATCGAACAATAAGTGTAAATATTTAAAGAACAACTTTCTAGTTGTGCGATCTACTTAGTTTTACATAATTTTTAAAGTTAATACATTTCATTATCTGTGTCATTTCGCACTGAGTTGCAAGTAAAATCAGATCAACTTAAAACCTAATCGAACTGCTGACTAAACAGAATTATGCAGCGTTCTTATCAATTTTCTACATGCAAGCTTCGAACTTGTCGAGTGCGAACCTTGAGTCATTATTTCAAACCTAATAATGAAATAGTCTACAAAGCATTCTTCATAAGAGAAGTCATGCATATTCTCGCGTACCTTTGTTTGTTATACTTTGTGTTTTATTATATTACTGATAAAACAATATTCGTTACCTGTGGTACTGAGTGAGTATTTCATGGTAATCCTAGAATCTTTAATTCATTCCTTTGAATCGAAAAAGGACTATAGTATAGAAATTGCAATCGATGTAAAACTAAGAACATCGTCGAACAACGAAAACGCAACGTATTTGCAACTTGTTGAGTTTGAACGTCTGGGAAAACGTTTAATAGTTAAATTCATCAATAATTAAAATATATTTACAATTTGATTATTTATATGATTATTTAATTCGAAAAAGTGGATAAGTGTTTTAGTATATGTTTGTTTTGTTTCTTTATTTTTTTAAAATCCATATTATCGGAAACATATGTATACTCTGAACATTTTATATATTTTATTTTTTTGCAGGCTTATTAATGAGGATGGTTATGTTGAATTACTAACTGAACTAAGGGAGAGGTTCCCGGAATATTGGGTTCTAAGCGGCGCTTACAAACCATCTATTGCCCAACATCTATTCGTCGTCTCTCTTCTCTTAATCTCCAAGTTTTATGGTTTCAAAAAAATATTTTATTCTTTCTATAGAATGGAAAGAAGGTCGATCTTCAGAACATTGCTATGGATAAGTGCACTGCTCGTATTATTAATCCTTCTTATAATAACGGTAAGTTCTTTCAGTCAAGAACTTTAAATTGTATTTAAGCCCATTGTGTTTTTGTAGTACATTATACAGGTCGATGTTTTTGGAGTAACTTTAGAAGGACAGATGATCTATTTAAAGCACACTCCTCAAGAAATCCCAAGAGTTGGCGACTTGATACAAATAATTCAGGAAAAAATAGAGAACTCAACTAGTCCTGCAATTACTCCTATTGTTTTACATTTAGGTTTTTATATTTTATTAAACCAATCAAAAAAAATGTAGGAAACCGTCGGAGATAAAAAGAAAGAAAAATGAAATAAATAACTTTAAAATAAATAATTTACAAATCAATTGTTTAACTATGTTTATTTATATGTGTACCTTCTTGAAAAGTGAACTTTTTACACGTCCTGCAAACCATAAAGGCTGTTGCAAGTCCGATAAAAATAATAGAAAACTCCAGTTTATAGCCAAAGTAAAAGCTAAAAAATCTTTCAATCACCGACAGCTCGTAAGTGTAAATGAAAATTCGCTACACCAGGGAGCAAATAGGTTGGAGTGGTTCAGAAGTGTCTAGGGACTGGAGCTAGCGAATTATTTCCGCTACACTTGCTCATTTCAGGCACCACCTAAATTAATGGTGGCTATGCGAAGCCCTTGGAACAATCGATTTAAGTAACACCCTAGATTAAATAAATTGCTGACTAACATTCCCAAAATTTTGCAAAGCTTGCAACAAACAAAAAACATTTTTTAATAATGTTAATCTACAAAAAAAATGTTTACCACGTAATAGAAATATTTTTAAAAATTATAAATAATTTCTTGCATACTGATAAAAAGTAAAAAACATAAATATATTTTTAAGAAATATTTTTTTAATGTATTTTGTTGTTTACTAGTTAGTTCTTGTTCTATTTTGCCAGTTAATAGCAATCTGTGTAAGTGAATGGTTGAGTGTGCCATGAGCTATGTGAAAAACATCTGCCGACGGATGTGTTTGGCCAATGGCCACCCTCGCCCGCCCACTTGCCACTTCCCCAGGAAAATCGGACTGAAGTGCGCAGATAAACCCTCGGTGGCCATCGGACCCGACTCTCGTACATATGTTTGCTATATGTATATAGCCCCAGGACGATCTAGCCTGACTATTCATGCGTTTCAAATTTTCAATACACTCAAACGATAATCGAGATGAGGAGGAGCAGTTCTGTGAATGTGTGTGTGTGTAGGTGGGGTGGAAAAATAGGAGGAAAAGCGAGGAAAAGCAAGGCATCGAATGATGAAAAAGCGCCGCATGCTACATTTTTAAAGCGTTGGTAAACATGTTGCGGTGCGCTTTCCCCATGCGATATCTTAACGGCAGATTGAAGGGAAGTGTAGCCACAGGCAACACCTGTTCTAATGGCCAGCCGCCACCAGAGGTCGGGGATCTGATCTGGCTTATTAAACGGGGAGTTCACAGCACCCCAAGGATTGGCTGCGAATAATCGCATTGCCAACAATAAAATCAATCAAACGGTAAACAGAGTGTTTTGCGGGCTGTTCACAAAAACGAATTTTTTTTAGGGGTTGCCGAGGAAAGCAATTTGGGAAAAATACAAATAAGTCTAGCTTTTATTTTTACATTTATTTAATACACTTAGAACATAAAAAAATGTATATTTTAAATTATAGTTGCCTATTACAAGTTTTTATTAATCTATCAAGTCTAGAATTTAACTTGTTGTTTGTAGAAAAAATCATATATAATTATGGACCACTTGAAAAATTTGGTTTTAGTACAATCTAAACTTTAATCTCTTATTTAAAACTTTACCATTTGTCAAGATATATTTTAATCGTGACAAAAGGTTTCACAAGCCACTGATTAAAAAGTGTGTATTTATGAGAATTAAAACTTAATTGTTTAAATATGAACGAACGTAAACGAGATACACAAAGGCAGTAAGTACAGTTTGTCTGTCAATTAGGAAAGAGCTTTCCTGAACTCCTGTGATATTGTTTAATTTATGACAAGTTCCATTGTTCCGGTTTGCCAACACCGTGCCCTTTTCAAAAGGCCTCCACACACTGGGGCAAACATCACTAAGCGGAAAACAAATTAAACAACTCCCATGTGGAAAATGTGGTGGGGTAAGTAAAGTAGATTTCGAGGACGGGGGGGCCACTCACTCGTAAGCTGCCTTTTGTTCGTTACGTTGGCGTCGCGAAAGTGCCAAAGTTTTTCATTGTAATAAATATTTTAATTTTGAACTTGAGCAATTAACCCGGGAACGCATGTGGAAGTGAAAGGGATGCCGCCTCCATTGTCCTGGCAATTGTGATCGGGATACCAACACCACCACCCACCACCCACTTTAGCTACGTTTTTCCCACGCGGAACGCCTCTCTCTGAACATTATGAACTTAAGCCCCGCGGCAAACAACAAGAACAATAACAATAAGAATCTGAGACACATGCCAAAGTGGTTAAGTCGGCGGCAGAGAAATGTTGGCAAAACTTTTTGGGGCGACGCATTTAAATGATTTTGCATAATTCAATGGTGGCGCAAACTTTTCGAATCCGACGGCGGACAAGGAAAAAAGCGTCACGAAAACTTGGAACCCAAACTTGGCAATATATTTTCTTTAATTGCGCACAATTAATCCTTTTTATGATGCTCCTCCAACCACCATCACCATCAGCACCACCTCCATTATCCTTGCCAGGTGAGCACTCAAGGGTGGATCCTCGGCCTTTTCCACTTTATTTCTTCCCCCACCCCCTTGGGTGCCGTCAACTGGAAATGTACACAAAGGGCTTAATTATAAAAGTCAACACACGGCGAAAAGCGTTTCACAAAGAAGCTCAGGGGTTAGGCACTCTCTATATCATCCGCCGATGCACTCGCACCCATTCAACGGGGCTCTCACACAAAAACCCAAAAAGCAAATGCTGGATCTGAAGCTCAAAACCAAAAAAAAAACGAAATACAAAAAAAAAAAAAACAAGAAATTCGTATGTAATTAAAATGAAATCCCCTTTTTACGACTGATGTGGATGGCAAAGATTTTTACGGTTATTTGTTTGGAAAAAAATAAAACAGGAGGCGAGCAAAGGCGGACCTGCAGTAATTCAAACAGCGACCAAACCGGAAAATTTCATACGTACAGTGCGTACCAAAACTATATTTTTTTTATTGTCCTTCCAAATGCTGTGAAATTGTCATAAGATGGTGAGCATTATTTGTTTTATGCTATTAAGTATTATTTTATTTGTCTGAAGATGAATCAAAAATTCATGTTTTTTAAACATTTTGCGACGAATACTTCTGGGACGCAGTGTACAAATTATATGTATTTGTAAGTACACAATTTTTTGTTGATTAAGCAGAAAAGGGTTAGGCAAATGACAGCAGGCTGTTAATGAATGCTGGGCAAGACTTTCGTGGTAAAACCCAAACTTTGTATTTCAGTATGGGGAAAAGAAAGGGAATAAAAGGAATAATCTTGAAAAAATATTGAAAAAGAAATCCTTAAAAGGGCTAAGAGAAAGCCCTTTGAATCTACACGCTATCAGTATTTAGTCAAAAGAACAATTTCCCCTTGGGCTTAATCAATTTCAAATGCACTGAAAAAGGAATAGATTTTTATTGGGCTTAAATTAAGATTATTATTAATAATACTCATAATTACTCATAAAGTAACTAAATTTTAAATTTAAGCTGGTTCAAGAAATTCACTGAAAGTTTTAAGGATAAAGTTAGTCACTTTGTGTGAAACAAAATAAAATAAAGCACTTGTTTTAAGTTACATTGTTTTATATCTTTTATGATTAATATAAATAAATTCCAAGCATCAAATGTTTTTCATTTAAAAGGAAACTTGTGCTATAAAAAATACATAAAATTAATAAAAGAAATATATATTTTTATTGCTTGGCAGAGCACCACAGAGTCTTTAAAATATGTTGTTAGGCTAAGTGCAAGGACTTTATTTAATGTGTTCAGTTTTCAGAACTTTTATTTAAAAGAACTCATTTAAAAATGTTTAATTTCTTTTAATTCAATGTGTTTTTATTTTTTGGGAAGTGTGCACTTGGCAGGCGCAGTGTGCCAGTTCTATTTGCCAGTTTTAATTATTGTCCGTTTTTATTGCAGTCCGCAGATAACGTCCGACGACAGGGATATGGCCTTCGGTGGGTCGTCCTGGGCGGTTGGTTGGGTTCTTTTTTTTTTTGGGTGGCTGTCAGTGTCAACGCAGTCATCGTCACCCCCTTTCTGGCCCCGTGCCCCCCGCCCATGGCTTTTCGCCACTCGCAATCGCAGTGCAGCATCAGCTGGCGATTAACTTTTCAAATGGGAACCCTTTTTCGCGCCGCTGCCGGCGATATGCTAATGATGACCACCGCCCTTCATACCTTTTGCCCCCCCAGAAAACATATATATATATATGTACGTATAAGCGGGTAGATATATATGTATATATATGTAAAATCCCCAGCCGATTTGTGGACCCGTGTCCGCCATTCGTTGCCCGCTGGCTGTGATGTACACTTTTTGTGTTTCATTATTCGCCACATCCACATCCACATCAACATCCTTCTGCTGCTTCTGCTTCTGCTTCTGTTCTGTTCTGTACTGTTCTGCTTTTATTATTTTCAAGTTTAATTAACTTTCGTGTTGCTTTCAGCGAGAGCGGGAGCAGCGTACATAAATTTCGAGTGTTGCCTGTGGCCTGATGGCTTTTGGCCGACTGGGGAGCGGAAAAGCGATGGCGGATGGATGGAAATTTGATACGATTCGGTTGCCGGCAGAGTCGAAAAGTAACACACAGAAGGAACTCTGCGGTTAAAAGCGATGCCGGAATGTTGGCCATTAATAAAGAAAGGATCCCAAAGCACTTCATTTCCTATCTGGTTTAAATTTTTATTAAATTTTTTGACCACTCGAGATTTGCAGTACATTTTTTTAAGCAATCAAGAAATGTATTTATTTTATTAGTTACAATGACAAGTGATTGGTTTTAATTGTAAGCAAAGGGTAATTATTATTATTGAAATTCCATTAATTAGTCACACCAACAGGTAAATAGGAAGCCAAGTTAAGATATTCCACCACAAACATTCGCAGAATAACATCCACTTGATTTGTGGTGTTATAATCTACATTTTGCTCCACGTCTTCTGGTTTATGCCACACTGGTGGAAATTCACTGGCTATCAGATGAACAACTTTTACATTTCGACGGATAAACGGCAGGTGATCATCCTGTGCATCACGGCTTGGTTCTAGTTGAAAAATTCGTTGGCCCAAGCGTAAAATTTTCGAGTTAACAAGATTCAGCTCCAGTTGAACGAATCGTTTGAACCAATTCAAAGTTGTTGGAATGTTCAATTTAAAGGTTATACCTTTGGAACCAATTAGGTCCAGAAGAACAAGAAGATCTATTTTTTCTAGGAAGCCTTGTTCCTCCCACACTTTCGCCAAATGTTGAGAACCATGAAGAGAGTCCTCTTCCGTCCAATTTCCAAATGCCTCTTCTCCATCAAAAAAGACAAACATTAAACTGATATCAGATTCACGAAAGAGACTCTTCAAAATCGTTGCCATATTTAGCATCATGGCACAGGGAACTGCTGAATCTACGGTGGCAACAAAATCGAAGTCCTTGAAATACTTGCTATCATAATGGCAGCCCAACATAAGATATCTCTTTGCCTTCGGATTTTGACGGGCCACAATGTTGTGGAAGGTTAGGGTTCCCAAAATTGGTACCTCCTTCGTTACAGAGTCCAGTTCAACATTCCAGTCAAGATTTTTTAGGTAGTCCACTATATAATTTCTTACTGCCGAATGTTCTGGTGTTCCGACCACCCTTTTAACCGCAATTCTTTTCACATTTTTGCGAAGGTTTTCCAGATCCGAAAGTCCGGCTAGATATCGCATTTGATTGACATTTAGTTTTGAGTTCTCATTGCTCAAAGTTTTTTTATTTTCTCTGTAGGCATCCTGGGAGATTGTTGAAATAACAAATATTAACACAAGCACAATAAAAAATAGAAAACCTCTCCGACAAGCCATTTTCTATGAACTGAAGTGTTAGGGACTATAACGTTTAGAAATATAAATTAGATTCGCATATTAAGATTATATCGTACAAAGAACTTATTCCAGTTTAAGAAATTACTTCTTTTAAATGTCAAAATTGATGTAACTTTGTAATGTAATTCCCTTGCCATTAAAAGCCAAGGGAATATTTTACCACTATTCAAACTCATAAATTTAAAACGCTTGGACTTTTAATTACATTTTGCCTAATCAATTTGCCATGCACGAATAAATAAAAGACTTCAGGAAGAGATCGGGCACTGGGGAATAATATATATACGATCGATTCTGCGATAGGGCTGTAATTACTCGACATTGAATGACTCAGTGGCTGGCAGTAATAATCGCAGAGACGTATAAACGGCTCAAGGCATCGCAGATCCAAAAGAATTACTTAATGCCATAAGGCAACTGCTCGACAAGTGCTTACGTAATTCCGCATGCTTATATAATAAATCGCAACACACCAACACGAGCCAACACATCTATAGCCATATCTATAGCCACATTTTGATGATTTCTTGCCAAAGGGGGGAGGAATGGAAGCAGGGAATCGACTTTGGGCTGCCAGTCTGTCTGTCAATTAGACCTTAATGTATTGTACTTAAAGTTATACGCAATTACGATAGAACTTCATCTGGCGAACTGGTTTTCAAGTTCTGTCCCGGCGATAAACAAATGAACACATAAGCCGAGCCGACACTCCGATACTCAGACAGTCGAAACCTAACTCAAGTGTCTGCCAAAAGCGAGCGAGAAACAAAAAAAAAAATTCGAAACCGGGCCAAGTCATGCTAGTCGAAGTTGATATACACTCGGTAGTGATCGCATTTTGCCACTTTGGAATCATAAAAAATAGGGGGGTCCCATATCACCCAAAAAGTCCCTATTTGAAGTGTTTTGTTGAGAGGTTGAAATATTATATTAGCTAAAATCGTTTATGAAATTAAGCTTCAGAACCTCTTTGATCTTGTTATTTTAAAGATTTTATTTCTTAATAACCTTCGAATTACTTTTAATATTCTAACTCACTAATTCAGTTAACACTACCTTATGATCAATTACATTATTAAAACTCAAGTGTACTTGCCATGCTGTTAAAATAAATGGGGATTAGAAGTTAAATATATTGGCTATAAACCGAATTTCAAATCACTCCGCAGAAGTGAAGTGAATTTATTGTGGACCTGTGTCTGGGTCGCTTCTAACCCTGCGGGTTCTTATTTCTTCGTTTTTTACTTATTTTTTTTTTTTGTGGACCCCATCTGTTCACTCGGACTGTCTGTTGGTCTTGAGATTTATGTCTGCAAAACAATCTTCGAGTCAAGCTAACAAACAAGCATTGTTTACCAGCCCTGGCCGGTTTTTGATACCCTAAAGAATGGGTCTTACGGGCAGGTAACATCATTAGCAACTCCTTTAATTAACTTCTCTTTAACTATTGATAAACTATAATTTAGTTTCTTTCATTGCTTAATCATCAGTTCTATGCATAACACAAAAGGGTATTAAATATTCGCTTAATTTAATGTTTTGCATTTTTAATTCCTTTATTTGGCATTAGTTTCATTTTTGCATGTTTCAGTTTCTTGTTTATTTATGCATTTATTGTACTCTTGAATATATTAGCACACTTAGATGGGATGTTTTTCATATTAGAAAGCTTATTGCCCAAATCCGTTTAGCAGACATATAAATATTCAGAGGATTTGTCTGGCGCCGGGTTTATTTATCTAATCCATTTATTATGGCCTCAAACGAGAGGTATTTTAATTGCTCAGGTTATATAGTAGTCTTAACTTTCGGACCTGATCGGTGAATACCAAAGGATTTCCTCGGTTTGGATTCACTTCAACTCCAACCAAAACGAAACTGCCGTCCGCCCCTTCAAATGGATGGCGGGGTTCATCATCGCCGCCCTCAGCACTCACCTGGAAACTCATCTGGAAACTCACCTGGAACCTTACGAGGAACCTCACTTGGAACCTCACCTGGAATTATCTCCGCCCCAACATCGCCCAACCCAGGACCACTTAAACGGGCGAGGGAGACTTCGAGGGGGGTGGAGGCGGCATGCTGCGGATCGAATGGGGACTCAAAGATCCAAGACGGCTCGGTCAGGCTGCCTCAAGATTGAGTCAAAGATACGGTGCAGCAACACGCGTCCGTCGCTCGATGTGATTGCAAATACCCTTTCTAGAGGAGGTTCAAATATGCAAAGAACTTTGTTTCCTTAACAATAAAAACTTATTAAGAAATGATCTGTAAATAACAAAACTTTAATACAAATCCTACTTTTATCTTAAAAGAAAATTGTAAAAGTATTGCTTTAATTGGAATTCATAATTTATTGTTACCATAGTAATCCTATCTTCAAAAAAATATAGTTAAAATATACTTTTTATTATAAAAAAACATATAAAGATGTCATGAGAATCTTTTTTTAATTCAATGATAAAAATTAGTTAAAATCGATCTAAATTAGTTAAAATAAATCTAAAACAACAAGAGTTTAAGTAGAATACAATTTTAGTAAAACCTATTTTGATTCTCCTGTTTTGATTTAGTTTTTTAAATGAGCCCTTGATTTGTTTTATTAATACCTTGAATCTAAACCCTGCAAGAGTATTCAGAATTAAGGGTTCCCGATATTGGCAATTTTTTGTCTTCCGTCATTTTGGGTCGCTCGATCCCCAAACGCTGCAGGCTCCACGCTCCAAAGTCGAAGTCGAAATCGGAGTTAAAGTCGGAGTACGAGGAAGAGGAAGCGGCCAGAGGCAGCAGATATACACGTATGTATGTATATATACGAACATATAGTATGGTAACCGAGATTATACAGGTACGTGTGGATGTGCTTGGAGGTTCGAAGGTGCGGCCGCTCGATGTGGTTTTTGTTGCTTTTATTGTCGATATATAACGTTGACTTCGTATGGTGTTTTTATTTTTTTCTCTTTATTTTTGTTGTTGATAAATTTTGTTGTATTTTTTTTTTTTTGCTGCTTTTTCCTTTCAGCTGTTTGCTGTGGTTAACTTTGTTGTTGCTGTAATGGTATAGCCTGCGTTTTGATTGCAGTCACCATTGTTGTTGTTGTATTGTTGTTGTTGTTGTTGCTTTGCCTTTTTCATGCCATTTAAGTCTTATTTATGGTTCTCGTTGATGATCGTGTTGATGGTCGTACTTTTTTCCTTCCACTTTGTTATTGTTGTGTTGTTTTTCAGCGTTTCTTTTTTTCCGATTTTGTTTTTCAGTTTTTAGTTTTTGGTCTTGTGTTAACCTTTTTTTTTTGACTGCGGTACACTGCGGCTGCGAGGGAGTTTCGATTTGATATGGGTCATGCCGGCATTATCTGTCCTCGAACATCATCCGCGGATCGTGAGACCAAGTGCGTGCTCACATCCCCTAGGGTTTCGTCAGGTAAGTAAAATAAAATTGTTTAAAAAAAAAAAACTATTTGACTGACCCACTGATCCATCTGAAGATGTTCGGGGGATATGGTTTTTAATTCAGGTAAGGTTGAATTTGGTAATGTGTATTACCCAAAACCTGAGGGTAGACCTTAGTGTAATAATTAACATAAATAAAATTGGAATGGGTTTAATTTGGGAATTCACTATCTTAAAAAAGTTTTACTTTTCAATTTATTACCCATCCCGACTTAAAGATTGAAAAAGATGAGATTGCACTCTATTTATTTATAGAATGGGGAAGTCATTTTGGGATTAAATCATTTTAAAATACATAAATAATAAATATTAAATATGAACAAATATTGTTTACTTTAAAATCTTTATATTTTTCCAGTTCGAAATTCTTAAGATCATATTTGCAAAATTCAGTTGAAGTCCCCAAAGTCTGGCCACTTTAATACCCTGCACTTCACTTTGATGCTTGATTTTTAACCTTCTTAGCTCACCTTTCCACCTTCCCACCTTCTCACCTCCCTTTCTCTTCGTTTTCATCTTTTGTCGTCGCTGGGTTTTCTCTTTTCGCCGATGCAACGACTTGCATACAAATAAACTAATGTGTGTATATATGTATATATGTATGTATGTATATTTGGTTCGCTGTGTTTTACCACAACAATATTTTGTGCTATTTTTTCTGGTATAATTTATTTTTATTTGTTGCGCTGTTAACTGCGAAATGGGTTTGCACGGTAGTCCGATTCGGAGTGGACCTGCTCAGGTTGCTACACAGTACGGAAAACTTTTGTTGTTTTATTCAAATATACTTTATTTTAATGATAAAATCATAATATGAATTTCTTTAAAATAAATCATTTATAAGTTACAATCATGAAAAGATTTTGAATGGATGTCAGTAGTATCTTTTTAAATATGATTAACTTTTCGTGAATAAAAATATTTTATAGAATTATGTTTCAATTAAAAGCCATTAAATATACAAATTTTTAACAATTTCAAAATTTTTTAGTGTGATATTTTTGCTTTTGGGTCGCTGCAAGTTGCCGCTGTTGTTTTCTTTCTCGTTTGATTCGTTTGCTCCGCAATCGCAGGAAATCAATTATAAAAAACCTTTGCTGTTCGGCTTCACTGGCCACGTTAATTCGTGAAAAATGTTTTTTCTTTATTTATTTTTTTTTTTTGCTTTTTTCCAGGTCTCAGCTTAATGTGTTTCTCGTTTTGTTTTCGCTGCCGCTGCTGCATTTGAAAGAGTTTTCATTGTTTCTCGGATTGGAGTTGAAAGTGTTGCTGCTGCTTGGGTCAGAGTCGGTTTTTTTTTTTTTTTTTTTGTATTTGTATTTGTATTTTTTTCAGGCCATGACAAAGGATTGCGCGGCAGCGGAAAAAGTGCAATAAATTTTACTATGCTCGGTGCCGAATGTCGATTTCGTTCAATGATTTCTCCCCATGGCAGCGACAACTGCCGCCTGTCGATCGTCGACCTTTATTTATGTGCCTTTGATAATGCGTTTTTAAATTCAGGAAGTCGCAGTTTATGCTCCCTCCTCACGAAACTTCCACT